CTTTGGATCCTTGTTTTAGTTCACCTCTGCCACCTACAGTCATGTCAAAATATCTCTAAATAAGAGCTTAGCACAGACTTGCCCAGACCACCCCCAGACCCACCCAGCACACTCATTGCCCTGCCTGAGCTATGATTTTGCTCAATTTTTACCCTATATTTTAGTTCTATGCAAGAAGAGGGTGTAGTCCTTATGGCCTACCTCAGTGGCAGCAGGTTTTATAAATACAATTAATTATGACTTGATTATGTCTTGATTAGACAAGGCAGCACTTGGTCAAACTGCCATCCCCCAGAATATGATGAGGTTTGATCTTTGTAAAGTCCTGCAGATGCAGTACCACATCCTGGGGATCAGCCAGAGCACCTCAAATCTGCACAGAGACCTTCAGCAGCCCATGCTATACTGTGGCAGTGACAGAAAATCAGCAGCAACAGATGCAGTCACGGTTATTCATTCCTACCTTGATACCTTCAATTAAGGCAGTGCAAGAAGCAATTAAGGCATTCCAGAAGCACTGTAATATGAGCCCTTAGCACGGCAATGTCACATGGAAAAAGGGCAAAACTTTTAAGTAAAAATAATGGGTTTAGTCCCATAAAAAAACTCTTATCCCACTACCTGAGTTTTCTTTTACTATAGTCTGGTTTGAGGCAATAAATGCAACGGTTGAATTTACAAATAAATATTTAAGGACTCTACACAGGCTGTATTTGTAAAATATGAGCCGACTGTTATGAAAATACAAATATCTTGGCAGTCCAATGTATACTTGCTCGCACTCAAGCCATGTAATTGTATGGCTAAGGGCAGCACGATTATAAAACTGAAAAGCAAGAATATTTGCACCAAACAAAAACAAAACAAAACAAAACAAACAAACAAACAAAAACAAAACAAAACAAAAAAAATAAAATCCAAGCCTTGTTCAAGTCAGGCGAGAACAACAGTAACTTTCATATGACAAACATTTAAGATTCAGAAATTGGAAGGAATGATTTATGTAACGCAGCTGTGCACAAATATTTTGTTGGAAAACCTGTCAGTGAGCTTTATCCTGCCTTTACAGTGTGAGAATATCCTCCAGTCAGCCCACATAAGGTAATGAAAAAACAAAAGATAATTTCCATTGTAATTAAAAATAACAAAAGTTATCTGATATCAAATACTGTAGCAGCAAGAACAGCACAGGAACAACAGTGAAGCAGAGGGCCTCCAGTGTTCGTTTCTCTGCAAGAATGCTTCTGTTGCTAAAACCATTCCATTACACAAAGATAAACTAGAAGGAGGACAAACATCAGACCAGTCTGTTAAGTTATATGTTTTTAAAGATTAATCGATGCAGTCCCATTTAAAACATCATCAGTATTTTGAAATTAATTATTAGGAAAAAAGCTTGATTCTCAAATAGCACAAGCTTCCACATACAGCATCTCCAATTAAGTGTCCAAAGTACCCAAAAAGCACTTTAAGGCATGATAAAAAACACACAGAAAATGCTCAACCTGAAATACAGTCTCTCACTAACACTGCACCACTTCCTAATTAATGCAATAAACTCTACGCTGTCAGTTCTCAAGTTTTTCTACAGCTCCCATTAGCACAGTATCTCAGCTCTACTAAATGTTTCTATGATAAAATAACAGCATTTTCTACAAGCTGTGCATCATGGTTTATCTTCACTATATTTTCTGCCCTAAGTGAGATGCAATTCAGCTTAATGCTTCTCTTCTCCAAAGGTCTGGAGCACCACAGAAAATGTAAATGCATAAACAGATCCTAACAGCATTGGTGAGCCTTTTCCCAGCATGAGGGCACACTCACCAGCAAGTGTGTTTTAGATCAGGCACTCTTGTCCATGTCCATGAATTGCAAATTCAAACTCAGCCCAGTTTCAAACTGACAGATGCTGGCGCTGAATAATCTTCCTAACCTTTAAAAGTGAAAATGTTTGATAATATCCCAATAACCTCAAGCAATGACAGTTTTCTGACTCTTCAGAATTTTTCTCTGGTTAGAAGGGTATAAGATTTCATTTTTAACACAATGAAACTTGAAATTCTTTACGCTAAATCCATACTGGTATCTAATAATTTTCTAGCCTGAACAGATTAGAAAAGGAACAGCTGTAGGTCCAAACCTGTACTTTTAAACTTCTGAACTGACCTCTCATAGTATAAATATGCATGCGTAAAGGAAAGAGTAAGAATAACTTAGATTGATAAATCACATGAAATCCCACTAAGACACAAAGTTATATGCAAAGTAAAGGGACGTGGGGAAACAGTGCTGCAGGACACATGAAAATACATTTAAGGTCCTTTATTCTGTAGAATCAGTTTTTGCTCTTGAACACTAGGCAAAATCAAACTCATCTTCAAAGGAACCATCTTATCACAGACCCTAACAGCTGTTTCCTCTAGTTCAGACAGACAACGACATTTCTTGAGTACCCCACGTGACAGTTTATCTGTCTCTCAGCTTCTCCAAGGTCAAAAATTTGCCAGCCCAGCTCTTTTTCTCCAATGGACAAGGACAAAAGTGATCCCTCTTTCTTAATTCTCAGCAATTCTTGTGGTCATCATCCTTCCTTCCAAACACCCCCTCCTCCTTCTCTCTTTTCCGAGAGTTTGCCTTCCTCCAGCCTTAGCAATCTTCATCTGCACACAAGACCTCTCCCTTCATCCCTGAGCCATGCTTTGGTTTGCTTCCCACTTCTGTCCTCCTAGGGCTCACCTACCCAGCCCACTTTATCTCCTCAGCGTGACATTCTCTACTCAAGGCTTCCTTGAAATTTGCCTAAACAGCAAGAAAACAGAGGCAGAAAAGTGCAGAACAAACCAACAGGCAGCTTCTGGCAACAGTCCCTTTACAGGTAGAAATGTGAGGCAAGAGTGTTGCTTTCTGTGCCCAGTGTGCCCAAAAGAAAAAGGAAAGTATGCATCTCGGGCATGAACCACCTGCAATTAAGAAGTGAAAAACTCAGAGTGATCGGCAGAAATACACATTTGCTCAAAAAAGGGCTTCTGCCAACAGGCAATCATGCAGCCATTTAGGAGAAGTTCCTATACAGACCAAATGCCAGGAGAGCATCTCAGATTTTTCCATAAACACAAATGTGACTAATTGTGACATTAAAACGTAGCATTTCCTTCCCTTATTTTCCTTCTTTCTTACCCACTTCCATTTTATCCCTTATGTAAATCTGGACAACTGTAGCATTTTCAGAGTGTAAATTTTAACTGCAGATACAAAAATTGTTACTATTGCCTCACAATGTTTAGACTGCCTGTCTCTGTGTATTCCTTTTATGGAAAGAATAAAAATGTTTACCTCTGCTTCAACTGGTTCCTTCTCCCTCCACACTGAAGATCAGCCAGCTCTAGGGTAGAGTAGCAGCAGCTTAACTATGTGTGGTAACCCCATAAAGCAATTTAGGACTTACTGCAAGGTTTACCTGTAGACAAGTCAGGGTGTTTTTTCTTTTACTGTTAAGTCATTCTCTGCAGCATGGTGATCTGTAGCATCATGCTGGAGACTAGTTTAATGCTGTCTGGAAGGAAATAATCTGCTGTTTGCTGACCCAGCAGCTCTTGCCCCAAACTTTGATTTTATTTAGCAATATCCCTATTGAACACAGGTGAGGCCTCACGTGGTGAACCTTGTGGAAGAGGCCAGTTCTTAGTCACGTGGACCAAACATCAAGATAACTAGGAGAAGAAAATCTAATTTCATGTTTTCTAAACGGATCTTAGGGTCGAAGAATGTAAGCTACTGCCTAGGCACTAACCATTAAGCATTGGCATGTTTTTTAAGATGCTGGTCTTGCTTTGTTTGGAGTCAGCATGCATCAAAATTTAA